TGTTGTCTTTATTTTGGTTGGATTTTGTGGGTTTTCCTTCTGGTTCTTCTTGTTTTATGTTATATACTTCAGTTCTGAATCTTTGGCCTGTGGTTACCAGTACGAATATGTAAAGGATAGTTATATATATATATAGTCGTCCATTTTCTTCTGTGTGTGCCTTATCTCCATTCCCCTTTGTGAATTTGGATCTTTGAATCCCACCTTTTCCGTCATTGTTATCTCAATTTGTCCCTATGTATGCTGAACATTCATTACTATCTTTTTATAACAATTCTCTTCTTACTATTTAAGCTTATAATGTCTGTTCTTAGTAGGGTTTCATTCCTCTGCTTCTATTTGCTTAATAGTCACTTTACACTTAATTACGTATTTTTTATTGTTATTTTGTTTTAGGTGAACTAATGCCTTTCAGTATTTCCTGTATTGTAGGCATAGTAGTAGAGAATTCCCTCAATTTTTGTATGTCTGGAAAAGTCTTAATTTCTCCTTTATATCTAAAGGATAGCTTAGCTGGATACATTATTCTAGGCTGGTAGTTCCTTTCACTTAATAGTTTAAATATTTGATTCTGTTCCTTTCTGGCTTGCAAAATTTGTACTGAGAAGTCCAAGGATAATCTAATGGGTTTATCTTTATAAGTTACTGTTTTTTGTTTGTTTGTTTGTTTGTTTTTCCTCCCTGGCTGCCCTGAGAATTCTGTCTCTGTCATTGATTTTTGATAATTTTAATACAATGTGTCTTGGTGAAGGCCTTTTTGGGTTGAGATAATTGGGCATTTTTTTGAATTCTTGAATTCCAAGCTCCAGTTTTTTCCTTAGATTTGGAAAATTCTCGTCACCTATTTGTCTGAAAATGCTTTCTAATCCTTTCTGCTCCTTTTCCTCCCCTTCGAAAATGCCCATTATTCTTATGTTTCCTCTCCTGATGGTATCAGTTATTTCTTTACTTCTTTTTCATTCTTCAGTTTCTCTCTTCTTCCTTCTGCTTTATTTATAGATTTCTGTCTTTGATATCACTGACCCTTTCCTCCATTTGGTCGACTCTATTTCCCAAGCTTGCTATTTCATTTTTTCAACTCTTGCAGTATGTTTTTGTTTTTTTGTTTGTTTGTTTGTTTTTGTTTTTGTTTTTTTTTTATCTCCAGAAGATCTATTCTGTTCTTTTTGAGGGTTTCAATCTCTTTGCTGTGCCAGTTGTTTTTCAATTCCTGAAACTGTTGACATGATCCGTTTTGGATCTCCCTGAGTTTTTTCAGAAGTACCATCCTGAATTCTCTGTCATTTAATTTACATATTTCTATGTCTGTAATCTCATATTCTGGAGATTTCTCTCTTTCTTTCTGAAATGTCTTATCATCTTGGTTATTCATGGTGTTTAATGGACTATTTCTCTGCCTGGGCATTAATGAAAATGTATTCTGCTTTTTTTCCAGAAAGAAGATTTATTATATATAGGTCTCTCTTTAGCCTGTTGCAAAGAAGGCGCTCTTCTTTAGGTTTCCAGTAGGTGGCGTCTAAGCCTCTTGGATCCGTGCTTTATATAAAGCTTTAAAAATGCCTTTTTAGAAAATGAACATTTTTTAAAAGATGAATATAGGTCTGTCAGGAAGTAACTCTAGAGGACTTTCTATTAGACGCAGAGTCTCAAAGTTACAGGTTATTAGGGCACTATTAATGAGACTTCATGTTGGTATCAGACGGAATGGTAGGGAATCTTTTAGATGATCTAGGGGCTTCAGAAAGCACACTAAGACAATTCCTTTAATAGCTCTGACAACCTAGGCAGTGTCAGAGGCTGCTGCTGCCTACTATTGGGAGAAGTAGCCAGTAGCATTTCTGTACCACTCTACGTCATGTCCCAATTCAGTGCTCATATGCTAAAGGCAATTTGACTCTAATGGGACTCAAAGTGAATTATCAATTTGTACTTTCACGAAAACCTGCAAAGACTAGGATTAGACTAAGCAGTGACTTTCTGATTATCCTTCCTTGCCTCTAGACCATTTCAATCTCTAACACTGAAGAATAAGAAAAAACATTTTTAACAGGACTCACTTTTCTAGAGGCAGTTTCTACCAACTTGAGCATACAGGTTTCTTAAGGTCAATTCTACTCCCATTAGGAGTGGGGAAAAAACAGAAACTGTATTTGCTCAGGGAATTAAAAAGCCTAACTGTTTGGTGTTTTTATGCCAGAACCAAAGGACCATGGGCAAGAGACTTGATAGTACTTTGTAAACCACAGAGTTACAGCCAATGGTTCCTAAATCTCACAGTTGGGGAAGCACCATGAAAAATATCCTTACCACCTATATTCTCCCTGGAAAAAGGAACAACCTCATTCATGTCAAAGAATATGCTTTAGTGTGACTGTAAATCATGCAAGTGGTTATGGTGTTATACCCTGTTATATTTTCTATAATACACTTTAAAATACTTTCATACAGAGAGCATAATATATACATGTACATTAATTTTAATCTATACTCTAGGAGTGTTTAGTTAACATCTTAAGTGCCCTAATCGGGAATGCACACTCATGAGGTGATTTGTTGACATATTAAACACTCAGGAATATTTGCTCCAGAGGCCACCACTACCAGCAGTTCAATCGCTTTAATGCATGAGGCCTAATTAGCCTAACACAAGTTAAAAATGAACTTTTACTGGTAAAATAGATGTTATTCAAGGCGTGCACTGGCCACAAATATCTTATAATAATCTTAGCCCTCACAAAAACTGGGCGTAAGAATCCAGTGAGTCCTATAACCCTTCAGGAGGAAGCTTAAGATTGAAAACAGGTGCTATGCCTTGACCCTCATCAGAGGATTCTGTCATCAGACTCTGATGAGAAAGTTAGCAGAATCCTGTCCCTATAATATTACCAAATCTTCCCTTGACTAACCTTGTCACATAAGATGCTGTTGTGTATCTAAGAGTAGAGCTGGGGCTGCATTGAGATTAAAGAATAGGTTGTATGATTGCTTTTTTGATTGTTTGCTAATAAATGTATGTTTGAGAGAATCAAACCTGAAGTTTGCTTTTAGTGCAATTATCTTTTCTAATAATGAGGCTGGCAAGGGAGGCCAACCTATAACTCTCACTTAACCCTGACTAATGGAAACTACTGGTATCTACCAAAAAGCATCTGATAACAGAGAAACAACAAAGTAGATCAGGTAAGTTTGCAATAGAAATATTCCTTCTGCCTTTAGAAAAATAAAAACTAATTCAAATGCTCTATATTCTTCATAGCCACATTATTCTTTCTTATCCCAGGTCACTTACCAATTTTTTCATCTTCCTGTACCATTTTCCTCTCTTCTCTGAAAGCCCTGAGCCAGCGTATCTTCTCCTCTAGCTTCTTGGCGAAGAATAGGTGTACTTCCTCAGTCTCCTTGTTGTGAAGCTTAAAGGCATTCTTCATGCTGACATTGAAGTCATCATCTCTGCCATCTTCAATGTCAACTACTTCATATTTATCCATGTCAATGCGGCCTTTGTAGTATAGGATGTCTCTCCGAATAAGGTCCTAGTTGGGAAGGAAGATAAAATTTTTTGCTAAAAGTATGTGAAGAGTAGATACCAGAAGAATTGGCACATGGGCACAGCAGGATACTAACACTGCCACTGTTTTGGAGTACCAGTGGGGGTTAGTTTGGTCTAAATTTGGGCAGGTTACCTTAGCAGTATGGCATTTACAATTGGTTAACTAGGAGCTCTTTTAGAAATCCTCTGTCCTATATCCAAAGACTCTGTCTCAGACCCAAGCATCAATCCTTGTATGTGGTTGCAAGACTGCTGGTGGGAAGTATGAAGCAGTTAAGGAAGCAGTTAGCCACACAAGGACTGCTAGCAAAGGCTTTTCCTATTCCAAAATATTTGCAAGCCTTCCAGAAGTATGATATGAGCTGGCTTGATTGCCTGAAGTGTACTCAGGAATTCAAGCGGGCCAGTGAGATCTGCATATCAGAGGAAAGATGCATGGGAAGAGTTGCTAGGAGGACACACGCTGCTGGCCAGGAAGGATTTACCTGGGGAGGTTCAAATAGTTAGTCTCTGGGGATTTTTGGAGAAAGCCTACTCTGGCAGGAGAAATGGGGGTAAAAGTGAATGAAGAGCTTAATAGAATAAAATGGATGAATCTCATAAATCTTATTGTGAGAGAAAAATAAAAGTAGATGGATACAAACAGTATATTGCCTGCCTGTTATCACTGTTGTTTTGGTTTTAGGTGCACAGAATTGGATTAATCTCAGTCCATGAAACACTCATCATTAGTCCATGCATGATACTCTTATTTCTCTATTTATTTATGTACTTGCTTACTTCTAATAATGTATTAGTTTTTGGTGAACCCACCAAACAATCCAAAAGCTATGATGCCTAGGCAATCTCTATCTTAAATCCCATGCTCATCATTCCCCTGATTTACTTTCTATATGGTTTTATTTCATCTGTATCTATTTCACTTATATAAGGTTTAAAATCATACAAAACATTGCCACATAATGTGTAAGGATACATATATATGTACAAAAGCTATGCAAAAAATATACGACGATACCTGCCAAATTCAAGAGTACAGAGAAGAGAATGGGGAGAAGCGAAGAAGGGAAGGAAGGGAAGAAGCAGAGAGGGAGGAAGACTATTTGTAAAAATTATTTCTTAAATTGGATAGTAAGTCCATGAGTGCTCCTGATATTATTTTTATATCTTTTTGAATGTTAATTATTTCTTAAGTTAAAAAAAGAAAAATAGAGGGATGAATGAAATGACCAGTGGGCCTGTAGAAAGTAAGGTCTGATAAGTGTATCTCACAGTGGCCTTTCAGCCCCTCTTCCTCTTGGCAATGCCCTAAAGCTTCTGAGAGAACACAAAGTAGCTGAGTCTGGCCAAAGAGGGCCCCAGTGAGCCCTGTCCTGATTGATACCCTCTATTAGTAGTAGGGGCCCATTCTGGCCAATTCTCCCTCCTCTCTGTTTGTATTTGGCCTTTAGACAATATGACAGAGTTAGAAATATTCACTAATTTGTATTAATATTATATGGTTTAGTTAAACCATTCCCATTTTACTGAATTGCCTGATATGCCTCAGTTCTCAGCTGCAGGCTACATGCAAAGGATTCGCTTTGGCCGCCCACATTCCCAATCCTAACTGTTCACACTACATGATAAACTGGGCTTTTTGGTAGTGCTGGGGAAGGCTGTCCTTAAGGATTCCTAAGATAGTTCTGACAATCTCAAAGTTTCAGGCTGGAAAATACAGAAGTTGTTGAATTGCTTTACAAAAAATAACCATCACGTTGCTCTTTTTCCTCCCATAATGACCATGCCAAAAGATAGGCTATGAGTACAGATGAGGTCTGATCTGTTGGGCGCTCCTGGCATCAACTTCACAGGAGAGGAAGTGGTCAGTTGTACAGAGTGGGCCTATGTTGCTCCAAGCCTATCTCAGAGCCAATGTTCCTTTTACCAGGCTCAAAGTGGACAGGTTCAGTTATAGTCAAAATAACAGGGCAGCTCTCATGCACTGAATTCCACATTTTCTGGAATAGTTTGTGAGACATATACATAAAAAGTAGGTCCTGCCAGGCTAATCTAACTACAAAATCAGGACACACTGAGGAGAACGGATCGATGTAATCTAGTTTGATCTTGCAAAGGCTTGAAATCTGCCTTACAATACATAATACAAATACACATAGGCCTAGGAATACAGGTCTGGACCGCACAGCTAATAGGTGGGTGCCTACCAGGCTAGAACATAGGCAGCCTCAATCTCTCTTTATTCCTAACTTCAGCTTGCAACTTCTTTTCTCTCTGAGTTGGTGTGTCACAACCATTATCCTTGAAAACCTTTACTAGTTTCCCCAAATGGAAGGGATGTACATGATCTTGGAGCTAAATTAAAAGCATCAACTGAACCTCCTATTGTTTCTTTAGGTATTTAAGGATAACAAGCAACTAAAGAAATTTCTGCCTCTGTGGCAGGGGAATAGGGCAAGAGGTGTGTCATTAAAATTCTCTCTTTGCCTGCTCTTTTTGGCTCCCCGGAGGGCTAAATATGAGTTTTCAGGTACCACATCAGTCATAAAGCCAAGTGCAAGGATGTGATAGAAATGATTAAGAATAAGCCACTGTTTATAAAATCTGATCAGAAAGGGTAGTTAGGCCACAAAGCAACATGGAACAGTGAAAAGAGTGAGTTAGACTCCAAAGCCCTGAGTTGAGTCCTGGCTCTTTAACCTACTAGCTGTGTAGTCTTGGGCATACCATTTAACCTTTCTGAGCCTCAGTTTTCTCATCTATGAAAATAGGAGTTATCCTCACCTTGTAAAATGGTTGTAAAGCTCAAATCTAAACATGCAGTTACCAGATCATGAGGCCAGCCTTGTCTGACAAATACGATGCTGAGTTTTCTTGCTCCTAGAACAATGTTTTGTAGTGCTTTAAAACTCTTTTTGATAAATTTAAAAATCCCACTGTTACCTTTAGTTCATTTAAACTATCCAAGTAAGTTAAATATTGTGACTGAAAATAAGTGAAAGCAAAGGTAACTCCGAATATTTAAAACTTTACATAGATACCCCATTATCCCTAGAAATTCCACATACTCTTTCAGGGCAGGAATGGAGGTAGTGCCACCCACTCACCAAAATCACAGATCTATACTTAGGCTTGCATTAATATCTCTTTCCAGCCCCAACAATGCCTCCTATTCTAATACCTCCAGCCTTTAAGGTCAAATTCACACATTCTTCCTCCCCAAAGAAGCCTTCCCTGACTGTATCCTCCAGCTCATCACTGTGGTTCCCTTTTTCTTAAGGCTAGCACTGACTGTACACCCTTATACAACTGACACTCTGCCACCACACCACTGAGGTGCACTAGTTCTGTTTCACAGCTTTTAGTTTTGTCTGCCCATTTAATCTGTCTCCAGAACAATGCCTTCCTTGGTCTTGACTCATTCAGGGGTTGTCCAGGGAAGAACAGCTGACAAAGTCTCAGAGGTTTCTCTGTTCAGCTTCTGCTCCTGGAAAGGAGACAAAGCTCTCTGAGCCCTGGTGACCTCTTGTCCTATTGAGACTAGGCTACCCACATGCCACTTGTTTATGGTGGACTGGGTGCTTTCATAAAGATATGGTGCGTAAGTGCTATCTGGGTTGTCAAAAGTTCCTAAATGAGGTTGTTTCTATTAGTATGCCAGCCTTCCTCCTTTTTTCCTTCCACTCGTCTGAGATGGAGGATATTGAGTTCTAGTACTTCTCCAGGAGGGCCCTGTCGGTCTGAAGACAAGCACCCTGGCCCTAGCCATGGCTCCAGCAAGGAGCTTACACCCTGTCTCATATAATATAATTGAAACACCTGGAAGCTGTTTGAATTTGGCTTCATTGGATTTTCATGGGGGTTTAGTAAGATAGTGCAGGACATCTTGCCCAAATAACAGATGCTGCAGTCTCAGGAATCCAACTGTTCAGTATTGTACTTTGCCTCACTTGCTTGTCAATAAGGTGCTCCCTACCTCTTTAGAGGGGGCCTTGGTTACTACCTCAGGGTCACCTTGTTTTTTCTCCACATCCTGGGGAAGACACATGGGGCTAGGACTGGATTTGTCTTTCTCATTATTGTATTCCAGCATTTAGAGTATACACTTAACAATAACAAAATAATAACAGTGCAACAGTAAACACTTGAACAGCATAAATTATGTGTCAGACATTACTCTAAATGTTTTGCATTTCCCCCTAGCTTTATTGAGGTATAACTGATGAATAAAGATTGCATATATTTAAGGTATACAATGTGACGTTTGATATACATATGCATTGTGAAATGATTATCACAATCAAGCTAATTAACATATCCATCACTTCACAGTTACGTTTTCTTGTGATGAGAAAACTTAAGATCTACTCTTAGCAAATTTCGATTATACAACACAGTATCATTAACTATAGTCATCATACTGTACATTAGCTCTCCAGAACTTATTTATCTTGTATAACTAAAAGTTTTTATACTTTGATCAACATCTCCTTATTTCTTCCACCCCCACCAGCCCCTGCCAATCACCATTTTACTCTCTGGCTTTATAACTTAAACTATTTTAGATTCCACATATAAAAGAGATCATACAATATTTATCTTTCTCTGCAGGTCTTATTTTATTTAGCACATTGCCCTCCAGTTTCATCCATGTTGTCACAAATGGCAAAAGTTCCTTTTTTTTTTTTTTTAAGACTGGATAATATTCAATTGTGAATGTATCACATGTTCTTTATAGAGTCATCCTTCAATGGCTAAATGCTTTGCATTTATTTACTTAGATAATCCTCACAACAATTCTACAAGGTAGGTACTATTATAATCCCATTTTATGAGGAATTGTATACGGAGTAGTTAAAAAATTTGTCCAGGAATAAAAGATACGAAATAGCAGAGCTGGGTTTGAGTCCAGGCTATCTGGCTTAAAAATCTATGCTTGTTTAACCTTCTATACATAGAAATTTGCTGAATAAATGTTTAGTAACACTGAATATACAGTAATAGTATCGATGGCTAGCATTTACTAAGTACTTACTATGTGCCAGTCACTGCAACTGCATTGTCTCATTTAACCCTTGCAACTTCCCTTCCATGGAGACACAATTTTGATTCTCATTTTGTAAATGAGGGGATAATAATAGGCAGAGAGAATTTGTCCAAGGTCATGCAAGGCAGCTCATGGGGAAAAGGAAATTGGTGCCTTCTTGTCTAGTCCTAGAATCCATGCTCTTAATACTATACTTCACTGTTTCCCACTAACTCACATGGTTCTTCTCAAAGCCTTCTGAGATAAATTCTACCATTAGCCTGATTTGACATTCAGGAAAAATAAAGACAAAGTTAAAGAACTGTCCAAAGTAGGGCAAATTAGTGAGACAGTAGAGTCTAGGACCTAGGTGTTCTGGTTTCAAATCCTCATGTTCTTTCTGCTGTATCCCCATCTCTGTTGCTATTTTTACCTTTCTAGTTGTTCTCAAATGGCTCATCCTCCAAGTCTCACTAGTCATTGCAAGAAGAAATAACCAAATGCAGAAAATTCCTTGAACAGAAGAAGTCCTCTCTCTAGCATCTTTATACTCTGTTTAGTTCTGATCCTCCCAGAATACGATGAAAGCAACATAAATACTAAAGAGTGATGACAGAGGGTATAATAGAGCATGTCCAGACTGGCATAAATGAAGATAGAACATAAAGAGAAAAGGCTGTTTGGGGCAACTGCAGGGCTGTAGGAGAATTAATGGATAAATGGCTGAGAAGAGGAGCAAGGGATTCTCCTCCCTTTCCCAGTAAAAAGTGGAAGGGAAAACATGAAAAAAAAGGAGAAAATTCCCCAAAGCAGCAAAATAATTTCCAGCATTATCATCTGAGAAAAAAAGAACAAAACACATACATGAGTAAAATAACTGGGCAATGTGATGCAGAGGAGTACCAACAGCCATCATAGAGGACAATAAGAAAGAGAACAAAGAGTCTTATCCAGATTTTTCAAAAGAAAAGTGACAAGGAAATAGAGGAGAGAGCAAAAGTTAAAGAAGGTATCACAAATTAGAAGCCATTGGTATTGTCACACCTACTATAATGGACATTTAAAAGAATCTTCATATATACGTATAAATACACACATATATACACACATACATACACACATACCATACATACATACATTCATACATACGTATATGCACACTCTGAAACAAACTACAATTTTTTCAAGCTGTTTTAAGTAGCTTGGGCAATTTCAACTTCCAATGTACAGAATGGGGAAGGTCAGTCTTGCACAAGTGACTGGAAATTAAGAGAATCTTAAGAACTAGATGGGAACTTAGTGACTGGGCCAGATGATTTCAGACAGAGATCAGACAGGTGTTTCAATCTCTCCTATACCTTGACTACTCATTTTTCTTTAATCATTGGCTCCTACTAGCTGCTCTAGAGTTGACTCATCATTTTGGTCTTCTGCTGCCCCTTTGATCCTAAACCAAGCTCCCTGTTCATCTTGTTTTTGTTTTTGTTTTCCCCCTTTATTCTTAGCCTTTGCCTTGCAGATGCCCAAATTAACAGAGTCTGAGTGGTAGGAGACCTAAAATCCAGTCTCCTAATTATTTTGCTGTATCTCTCTCTGACTGGTTAACATGCTCTGAGAGTAAACATACCTCAGTAGGATGAATGGACACATGTCTATTGGTGACACAACTGATATGCTGAGATAACCTTGGCTATCTAAATTAACCCTCAAAAACCTTGTCTCCTGATTTGAGAGAAGTCCTAGGAAGAGTTAGGGAGAGCTAAAAGAAGCTTGGGTGTTTGGCCAAGTTCCAGAATCATAAAAATTCTCTCTTTCAGGGCCAGCTCCCGACCAAGGCAGTTATTATACCCATTAACTAACCAGCTTGGTTCCAGAGCTGGCATACAAAGTTTATCCCAACACTGAGACATTTTCACTCAAAGCTCAATTCGTTTTCTCAATCCACTGTCAAAGGTAAATGGACAAAGATTTAATGCAAGATGTGGTACACACAGAGAATAGGAGGCTTAAAAACAAATGTGAGATTCATGTTCCAGGCTGGGAAATAAATGATAGTGTTTAATCAAGTGTTTCATGACTCATCATTCCTCTTCATATGCATTTAGTACTGGATGAGGGAGAGAACAAAGAGACTGGATGATAGAGAAAGAGCCAAGGGTAGGACAGTGAATTTGGAACGTCACTCTAAGCATTCTTTGTTTTTTCCCTCTTCTTTTAATTTCCCTGGTCCCAAATTCTTCCCAACTCCACTCCCTGTAGCCAAAAGTGGTCTGAATTCCCTATCTTGAGGAGGAGGTGAAGGGAACAGTATCCTTTCAGGAGGGATCAGTCTGGGAACATAAGCCACTCTCCTACCTGCCAAGGATAAGAGACCAAGCAATCAACACTAATACTAAGTCAGTCAGGGGTCAAAAAGAGCAAGATCTCTTCTCAAATGGATTACAGAGAATGGAGGATGGAGAAGAGCATAGTTGAGATTTGCAGGGAAGTGACACACCTTCTGTAGAAAATGGGTAAGGGCACAGGGGAAATTTCTATATCACAAAGGTACCTACCTGTCAGGGAAAGGTAGGAGGCCCCTTGTTGGTTCTTAGGGCAGTGAGGGGCCAGGTGACCAGAGCCATTAGAGTGAAAATGGGAGGCGAGTACTCAGGGAAGCCACTGTTCACCAATTGGGATAGAAATATTTAATATTTTTAACTGGTGTAAACCAGCAGGCTTCAGTTCTGGGTGGAAGACAGTGAGAAGGATCACTACAAAGGGTATGAGGGTAAATATTAAAAAAAAGATACTAAGATAAAATGCATCAACTTCAGAGTTTTACTGCCCATAAGCCAGCTCTGCCTATGATATTCATGTCATACCAGTGGTCCTGATATAGAATTCTCACCCTCTCACCCTCTGTCAATCTCCTGTTTTTCACCCAACAGGTTCAGTCTACTTCAATGGGAACTGTAGATGATGAAAGAAGGAGGGGCTGGTGCCCCTCGAAGTGTTCATATCCCTCAGGGAAGAAGAGGGTGGAATTACCTTCTTGCAGAGGACCATCTGGTGGTCAAACAGGAAGAAAACCCGCTGTTGGTTGCGGCCGTAGGGCTGGTAGATCCAGGCCATCTCCCCAGTGTAGATCAGCTCCGAGCTCCTGTCTAGGATGTCCTCGCCCTGGGAAGGACATGTGACAGTGAGAAGCATCCAGGCAGGAGGGATGGACTCATCACTTGCCTGGAGGCACATAAGGTTGGGCATAGTCTGGGGCAGGAGGAGGAAGGAAAGGACATATGGGTAAGGAAGGATGAATGGAGGCACTCCTGGGAATCCTTAAAAAGCTCCATGAGCTGGAAAGACTCATTACCTTGTTTACCCTGAGGTCAAATGAGCCCTACCATCAAGGATTGCTATAGTCAGTTACCCTTTGGCCCTAGGGGTACCAGCTGTCATGGGGTTCATTCTCTCATTCTTCTTTTTCTCTATGACTCTCTCTCTCTGCCTTAGTATTTTATCCTAGTGCTAGTCTTTAAACTATTTCCTGTTCCTGAAGAATAAGCCTGAGAAGGTGGTAGAAGTCTGTCTACTTCCTGGATGAGAAAAAGTAGACAGGAGAGGGTGAGAAGGAAATGATAATAGAGGGAAAAAGAATTCCATCACCCCTTTAAAATAGTTTTTTCTTCTCTTTTGAGTTAATTAAAAGCTATTGATAAAATAGGAAGCTTCACAACTACATGCTTCCTTGGATGGTTATCTAGAGAGCCTGAAACCACTTCTCCTCCTTGTTTTGTAGAGTTGAACACACAAAAAAGCACCAAGACACCTGATTCCTAACTCATTCAATTCTAAAGAGTTTCCAGTGGCCCCTTCTTTATGGTAATTCTGCTAGGACATAAGTATGTGGGGGTATCTGTCAGATGCCAAGCTGGACTTGGCACCTTTTCTCAAAGAGCTTACATGTCAGTGGAGGAGACTAATACAGGTGTGCTCAAACCTCATGGAACACAAGGCAAACCATACCAAGGCCATGGACACAGGGGTGTGTGTTCTAGGGCCCATGTGAAGATGGGAACAAAAAAGCAGTAGCCCAGGACTCAGGAGAATTAATACTTACTAAGCACCTATATTGGTCAGACACTTCTATCCTATCTCTTCTGAGCTTCACGACTGCCCTGGGAGGTATATATTCTTGCTCTTAGAGTCCGAGGTACAGAGAGGTCAAATAATCAGCTGAGGCCACCCAGCTAGTTAGCTAGAGATCCACAACCCAACCCCAAATCTGCAGCTCCAGAGAATGTGAGTCTTGCTACTACATTATGCTGTCTCTAGGCCAAAAATTACTGGAGGATCAGTCCCTTCTTTCTCTGGGTCTCAGTTTTTCCAGTTGTTAAATAAAATGTATGAGGATGATACATAATGTTTTAGTTTTGATACACTGATGCTAAAATCTCAATCTTGCACCCAAAATCTTAAAGTCAAGGTTAGAAATGGAGGCACCTGCATCCCCCCAGAAATAATCAGAGGTAAACATCCTAGGCAAAGCTGTGGACCAAAGAGACGGGTAGCTAGAAATGATATTCTTTTCTCTAGTCAAAGGGATGGGAAGGAAAAGGGTACCTCAGGAAAAATATTTTCTAATAATACAACCTCAGAAAGAAAGCTAAGAGATACTACTGTAACTCCAGACTCTACCTCAGGGATATCTTGGAACTTTAGATAAACATTCCTCCTTGAGGGGCCCACATACTAGCACAGAACCTCTGGAGGCCCAGGGCTGGGAGAAGAAGCCCTTAAAA